TTAAGGATGAGTGTCTAGTGGATATCCATTGTTGTATACTTCTTGCTTTCCCTGGAGATTTCAACTATAGCATTTAATAAGAGTCAAACCAGGTTCAAGACAGAGCTTAAAACTTGCTCTTTCCAGGTTTTTCCCTAGAACTTCTGCACTGCCTCTCTTTTTGAAATGGTCTTTGGTACAGCCCTAACAGGACCAGACCTAGGTAATCCTGAGAACTAATTGTTCTCACCCCCTCACCCATCAGTCTACCTTAACTACACTGCTCTTCCATGTTAAATCTGCCCCCTATCTATTCCTGAATAGGCAAGCTAGTCTATGTTTATATCCCACTAGGCAAGATCAACCACTTCTCTTAGGAGTCCTTTAGAAGAGCTATCTCAATGCAGTCAGGCCGGTGGTACACACCTGTAGTCACAGCCCTCAAGAGGCCAAGGCAGGAGGGCCACTGCAGATGTGAGGCCAGCCAGGGATACACAGCAAGACCCTGCCCCAAAGCTAAGCATCAAACTTCACACATGCTGAGCAAAGCTCTGCTAGCTCTCCCCACTTCCTTTCTAAATTTCACTACTTAGAAATACTTTTCACTTTACTCCTAATGATTAAGTGCCATCCCCAAGATACTGTCTGCAATACTCAAATTCCTTCTGGATGCTAGGATACAGTCAACTTAAGTCTTCAGTGACAGTGGGACAGACTTTTCCTCTCACCTCTACAGCTTTGGGACAGATTGGGCAAGTGAGTCCCCAGCTGACAGATCTTCTGCTCTGGGCCATCCACTATGAAGAAGCACCAGGTGTGCGGCTGGAAGCTTGCCGGAGCATCCTAGCCCTCAAACTTCAAGGAAACCAGGTCAGGGACACCTTTCTAGATGTGCTGCTCCTGGAGGACCACGAGGCTGTCCTTAAGTAAGCACTGAACCGCTGCTTTCTGCCATGACCTCCCGGACTGCCAACACTCCAATCCTTGACCACTGAGCATGCTCTGCCTTTCCAGGCTAAGTGGGGAACAGAAAATCCTTCCATAAGTAGACTGTCACAGCTCCCATAGTTCCTGTGTTACTTCTCCTCTTCCAGGGAGTTTTAAGTTATCCGTGTATTCAACATTTACCCAGTAGCTACTGAGACAACAGACTAGAGTCAACCAAACCAGGGTTTCAGTGTACTTGTCCATACTCTTAAGAGTCAACCAAACCAGGGTTTCAGCGCACTTGTCCATACTCTTAAGAGTCAACCAAACCAGGGTTTCAGCGCACTTGTCCATACTCTTAAGTACTGTGCCCCTCCCTACGCAGCCCTTTTTAATTTGTCTCAATCCTCCCACGCAGATGGAAGTCTACGTTATAAAGCTATGGTGACAATTAATGACATTTGGTACCTTTCCCAAAGGTGTTTAAGAAGTAGGAACTGTCACTGCCTTCACACAGATACTCTGGAACTGCACAACAGCTGTGTAAATGATCACGTCATTTCTACAGAGAAGACTCGGTTAAACTGTTGATGAGGAGTTTGGGATTCTTGTCTAATTCCAGATCCTACAGCTCCTGATTAACAGCATCTCTCTTCTTAGGGACGGGGCAGAACCACCTTTCCTGTCTTTCAGGGAAATTTACCAAACAATGACAGCACTCAACTTAGAAAAGGAAGGCAACCAAGAAATGCTCCAGGAGATCAAGAAGAAGGTAAATAAGTACAAAAATGTTTTCAAGAGGAAACCCAGGGCTCCAAGAGTTTCACTAATAAGCATGATCGTCAATTACTTTATCTTTTTTTATGTTTGGTTGAGCTTTACCATGTAACTCAAAAATGACCTTAAAGTTGGGATCTTCTTGCCTCAGCCTCCCAAGCCCACGCTTGATATAATCCAATTATTTTAATGCTTTTTCCTCCAATACAGTTGGTTGCTTGCTTTTTTTTTTTTTTTTTTAACATTTCCCCCCTTAGATTGGAACACTAAATCAGAAGGACTTGCTGACGGAGAAAATAATGAAGATGGAAGTAGCCATAAAAAATGTGAAGAGAAAAGCGAGACACATCTATTCACCACCCAGAGAGGGCCAAAGCCCACTGGAACTTGAAACTTTTCTTCAAGACATTTTTGACAGTAGGTTTCTTTTGGGTGAACCCATCCCTTGACTCTTCACACCAGACTATCCCAGGACCTAGACATTTGGGAACTTCATAGGAGGCCTGTATGACTTAAGTCAGGAAGGCTACTTAACCCTTCTCCCCTTCCCCAGGTTTTCATCCATCTGCAATTGTGTGCCATTTAAAAGGTAGCTCTATCCCAACTGATTTAAAAAGGACATACTAGAAAAGCACAAGTCTTTGGAAAAACAAGTAACTACTATGTATGTTTGATTAAGCACCCCAAAAGACCTTACATTTCATCTTATAAAAGATGGTCATCTCTGGAAAGTACACCTGAAAGAAGAGCAGTCCTTTTATGTTCTAACTTAAGGGAAAAAAAATAACTTCTGAAAGTCCTCAACCTTAAAAACCAAACCAATCAGTTACGATGACAGGACCTTAAGAGGTCTAGATACACTCTAAATGATGAGGGTTCAGAAGTGGAACTATACCAAAATATACTTACAACATCTGTAAGCAGCAGCCTCGGGTCATTCGGCCGGTTACCTACCAGCCACCACCCCAAACCCAGGTCTTCTGGTTCCAAGTGCTCTTTCTGGTGCACCAGGCTCTCTTCCACCAGTCATGAAAATATGCACTTGCCAGATTTGGGGAAGTTTCATCCAACTGCTAGGGGGAAACAAATGAGTGGAAAGTAACTTGAACACCAATCTTCCCTGTGGCCAGCTTGCTAAAAGTTGGATGACTAAAGCCTATCAACACATAACCAGGTGACATGGCACTGTCCTTTTGGGAGCCATGCCAGCCAGTCACTGATTTACACCAAGCACTGAGCAAATACAATGTATACTTCAAAGCTGACTCTGGTATTGGAGGCTTCTCCTGTTAGGATTGTCCTGTTTGGAGTTCAAGTAGATTAACTCAAATGAGTAAGTTACCTCCAAAGCTAACAAACGGCCCCAACCAGACAGGCTTCTCTTCTTTAGTGAGTGTGGTGCTGGGAATGAACCCAAGGCATTGCGCATGCCAGGCATACCCTTGCTCTGCCCAGCCCTCGCCTTTAAAAGTTAACAGACTCCTCTGATATCATATATCACGTTGCCTTTCATCTCAGCCACATCTTCCTTATCTTCTTCCTTGTCTCACAGTTTTCAAACCAACCCAAAAAAAAATCTAGGCTTAGAAAAGAGAAACGGTCTTTGGCACTTTTTAATAAATCTTCTAATGTTCATACAAACTTAACACACAGCATACTGACCCCAGCCCGAAGCACAAACTGAAGAAAGAACACAAAAAGAAGCAACTTCCATATAAAAATCCCTCGTGTCTCAAGCAGAAGGGCACGGCCAAGGCCACACCATACACTGAAGCCTGCAGGGAATGCAGCTGGTGCTCTCAGATAGGGGTTGTTACTTCTGCAGAAACAGCTTAACCTCCTCTGCTCCAATATCTGTTTCCTTTTGCACCTAGATGAAGAGGTCCCTCCCAGAAGGAAGTCTGAGCTCTGTGACACGCAAACAGCCATAAAGGTAAACATAACCACACTGACGCTTAGCAAGGTAAGAACGTGACTTCTTTTAAGGGGAAAAAAAATTAAAAAAAGGTGGCAGTGGTAGCGGAGCACCACGACCGCACCCTTTGCAGCCATCCTCAAGAGACTAACTCGGAACCAGAGGCGCCTTGGTGAGCAGCAGCCCCTTATCATACAACATGGCTGCCAAGGAAAGCTGGTCTTCCACGCTGTCACAGGGCAGGTCCCCTACTCTCACAAACTCCGGGTAGGAGCGAAGCAAGAGTTCCATGGCGTCCGCCTGCTGAGGGCAGATTTCCAGGCACTTGGGTTCCTCCAGATGATACACGCGCGAGTTTTCCACCGTGTAATAGAGGAACAAACGGCCGCCCTCGCCCACCAGCCGAGCTATGCCGTCCTGAAGCATATGGACTTCCGTTTCTGTTGTCAACTGGGCCCCCACATTTACAGGTTCTCCAGCCTCCCAGCGAACCGGGAGCCCGTGGACACTCAGTGCCCTTTCCCTATCAGTCAACACCGGGGGCAGGGAATCGTGGATGAAGTCTTTGGCTCTCTGGTCGGCCACAGCATCAACGGGCGCGAAGTGTCCCAGGCGGGCAACCAAGACCCGCACCTTTTCCATGAAAGCTGTTCTTCGCGGATCCTTCGAGTCTGAATGCTGGGCCCCCATGTAATCCATGAAGTCTCGAGGCAGACCCCTGCGAAACTCCACATTTTCTTCTACTGCTGCTTGCACGGCCAAGGGCAGCACGGCCTCCAGGAAGTCGCCCCACGTATTGCGCTGGTACGTGGACAAGGTGAGGTGCAGAGAGTGGACTCCATCCTGACACTCAGCTTGATGAATGAAGCCCCGAGGGAAATACAGCAGGTCTCCAGGCTCCAGCACCGTCTGCAACACCGGCTCACCCAGGTCCTCCTGGCTGAAGTTGGGGCTAGATGTCAGGGCGAGCTCCTCGCTGGGGTCCCGCGGTCGGTAGACTCGCCAGAGTTTGCGACCTTCCAGCTGCAGCACGAAAGCCTCGATGTCGTCGTAGTGGGGAGCAAAGCCCTGTGAGTTGGGGGGCGTGAGGTACACGTTGGAGCCCGCCATGCTGCCAAACTGTTCCTGGAGCACAGCCAGAAACTGCCACACGGTGGGCGAGAAAGCTTGCGGGCAGAGAAGGCGCAAGGAGCAGCCGGCCCGGTACAGGGACCAGGCGGCGGCGGGGAGGGCGCGGCCCGGGGGGTTCAAGGTCTCCCGCCTCCCGCCGACGTAGCGCGCGGCGTCCAGGTGCTGCCCGAAGTGCACGTCCTCGGAGCGCAGCATCGAGTCCAGGTCGGCCGTGGAGAAGAGGCCCTCGTAGTAGCTGGGGTCCTGCCGCCGCACCAGCACCGCCTCCCGCTCCCACAGGCGCCGGTAGAAGTGGTCGGGAGGCATGGGCGCCAGGAGCCACTCGAAGAGGCGGGCGGCGCGCCTCCGGCTGCTGGGGATGCCGTCCAGCTCCGCCAGCACCTGCTGCAGCGGCGAGTCCCAGGGCCGCTCCGGC